GTTGGGGGGGGGGGGGTAGCATCCATAGTGCACTTGACAGTTTTCTGACGACAATCACACAGATACCGTGCGTTCTATCGGTGAGGGTACGTGTGCTCGGCTGCGTTATTCGCGCCAAGGCAGTTGTGGGAAGGACTCACTTGCAAGCTCATGTTACCGGAAGACGTCTCATCCTCGAGGACGCGGTCGTTCTGGTCGTCCGCGAAACATCCCAGGTAGTAATGTTCCGACGGAGGAGATGACCGGTCGACTACGTCCAGCTCGAAGAGGTCGAACGCCTCAAAGCCACCGCAAGTCGTCTCGACTGCCCCAGTGCACGCGTAGTCGCACGTGCCCTCGCCGTACCTGAGGTCGACAGACGGCGCGCACCAACACTCTTCGCCATATTGCGTGGCGTAGAACTTGTTGCCGAAGGACTCGTTGGCGCAGTAGGCGGCGCAGACCTGAATGTTATGCGGTCAGTTGAACCAAGGAAAATGACGGGCAAGGGGGGCAAATACGCTGAACATATGAGCGAGCGACGAGATCGGAACGTGCAATGCCGCGAGCAGAGTACAATTTTCGGACTGAAGCACTGAGGTACACCAAGCGAAGCACGTTAAGGGTCTACCCGCCTGTCGAAGCTGCACACGGCAAAGCCTTAGAAATACGGGGAGATGTGATCGCGAAGCAAGCATCCCTCGGAGACAGCTCGACATGGAACGCGCGATATTGCTCCGTCAACTGCTGACGCTACTCATGTTCAGCGTGTGGAGTAACGTCAACCTGCCGGACATGACCCTCCCCCCCCCGTAGCTCACGAAGGTAGCACCGTCCTTTTCTGTGTAATCTCGCGCAGAGGACACTCGTGGGCTTGAAGACAAACCTGGTCAAATGGTGTTCCTACACACGCACATCCGCAAACCCGGTGTGACACGAGCAAACACCGACACCACCAAAACGGCGGCATGCACAATCGTACAGAACGCACCACGGTACATGCGAAGAGCGTACGTGTTACCCCAGGCTGTAGAGGTTTGGCAAGTGGTGATGCATCAATCACAGCAAAAACGAAAGCAAGCAACAGTGAGGGGAACTCAAAGTTTGTGCTTCTTGGGGACTGGGACAGAGTACTCTAACCCTCAGTATGCCCAATCGTGCACGACATGTAGTATTCTGAACACTCTTCGGGATGAAACAATGCAAGCGGGTTACCTCCGAGGTCATCTCGCTCGAAGACGTCTGAACACCCAGAACACGGTCTTGCCGGTCGTCTGCAAAGCATCCCACGTAGCTGTCGTCCGTGGGAGCAGTCGGCAAGATCGCTTCCTCCAGCTCGTACAAGGAAAACGAGAGAATACCTCCGCAAACAACAGAGCCATCGCCCGTGCAAGCGTAGTCGCACGTGCCCTCGCCGTGTCTGAGGTCGATATTCTCGTCTTGGCACCAGCACTGACGCGAAAATAACGATGGGACGATGAGGTACGGGACCCGCGCACCACAAGAAGATTGGTCCGGAATGTGGAACATACATGGTGCACAGACTGCCCAAGGTTTCTGCAGGGCCGTTTTGTGCAGGGCGACACACGCCCTGTTTTCTTATCGACCCTCGCCAGGACCTATGCAGCCTCAAGATCAAACCCGACCCTTGTCCCGATGACCCAGACTCAACTATTTAGATCCTCGAGCCCAAGTGTGAGCGTGCTTCCGCTCCTGAAGGTTGCGCCCGCTTGACTAAAAAATCGAGAATCTGACGTTTCTGAAATAATTTGGTCTTTCTCGAGGCACAACCATCTCGACACTCCCCAACATGTGCTCGCCGACCCCGAATTGAACAACAACGGAGATGTATTCTGGACATCGACTTGTCTCGGAGCTGTCGCAGATAGATCACAACGAGTGCACCCCGTAGGCTTTCTCGCGTGGTATGGAAACCTCATTGCAAATATGATATAATTAAACACCAACAAAAACATACGAAGTACCTATGTAAAACCCCAAGCTACCACCTTCAGTAACATGGCTGTCGCATAAATACCATTGACCACAGATCGTCAGGACATACCAAGTTTAGGTTGGGGACTGCAGGGGGATGTTCGTGGGGTCTGTCCCAAACACCAGACCCCGGGGAGCTAGTCCCTTCAGTAAAGGCAACAATTTCCGCCACGTTGTTGCGAAGGGGGAAACCTTGGCCGACGTGTACACATCCGGTTGGCGGATGAAAGCGGGCCCTAGGAAACAGGATAAGACACGTTGGCAATACGGCCCTTGCCGTTAGACTCTTGATTCGTTAAGTCGAGCTTTGAATTCGGCGAAGCCAGCGAATATGACCCCAACCGACAAACCTCTTGGCCCCACTGCGTGGCGTAGTACACGTAGCGGGATGATTCCCTGGTGCAGTAGGCGGCGCAGACCTAGAACGGAGAAAATCAGGATGTACATAGCATGGGCTCAATACGGGGTGTTTCTACTACCACCGATGGTGAGACAAACGTCGGTCACGCGGCGCAAATGTTGCAAAGCACTTGTCCAACTCATTGCAAAAACGTCAGTGAGTCCTACGCACTCGCAACGCGTGTAGATTATACAGTGGCACCACCACACTGAGGTGTTCTTGCTCGACACTACACCGAAAAAAGCCGCCCAACCATATTCTACTTCATATCCTCCCATCGATCGGGAAGGGGAAACAGTCGCGTGTATGTGTGTCGAGTTTGACTGGGGTGGTAGATGAAGAACCTTGCCTTGGACAAATGGGCCACATAAAGAACAAGAGGTTGAAGCGAAAAGGAACACTGATCCCTATTGATATCGCAGCATTTTTTGCGAACCTCGAGGCCTACGCAGCACCTGCAACCGTCGACATGGTAAACTGTGCTGAATCTCTTGTGGGGCCCTTGACGTGACCTTGCAGCAATTTTGTGATGCTCACCGTGGGGGTCATCCCGAGACTGGACCATTGGGCCGTGAGCACTCGGTCCCACTGGTCATCCGCGAAACAGCCGATGTCGCCCGTTTGAGCTTGGGAGATACCTGAACAGAGGAGGGAGCGGGGACAGGAGCGTGCTCATTTGTTATTTGCCGTATTATGTGGACCGGGGGAGGACAAGCGAGTGTACACGAACGGCGCTCCAAAACCGAAGCCGATGCACGTCGAAGAGACTTATCCCGGACGTGTTATGCGTACTTCGAGTGTTCGTTCTATTGTCTGGGCTTTCCGTGTCGTGCGCGCCAAAATGAAGATTGCCAAAATGAAAGGAAATGTGCGTATTTTTCGAGACATTGTCGGCGCCAGCCGAGCCAAATAGCGGCCGTTGAAAAGGCAGGTGAGAGGGATAACGGTAGAGCTAGCTCTTCGGAAAAACCGTCCCCTTTTGCTTGCCAACCTGCTGCTCACGAAAGATACATCCCCACCATTTTAAACGCGTGTGCCACCAAAGTGCGCGCAGATGCCTCATGTATCACTATTGCAAAGCGCGTGTGCACTCACCAGACGACGTGCCCACCACCGCAGCCCCAAGCGCAAGGACGAGAGCGGAACCGCCGCGCATGGTTCAACAACTTCCTGCGGACATTGAAGGGGTTGGGGGGCATGATCAAGGCGGCGAAATCAATTTCGGGGCCCCGACCTGCTTTTGGTCTCGGTGTGAAACAACGACATAATAAGGAACAGCTGCTTCTTGGCAGTGTCTCCCCCCTAAAACAAGCGTTTCCGTTGCTGCACCCATTGCCCCCCGTACACACCGCCCTTACTGCAACAACGCAAAGCTTATGAGACATCTTCTCTTGCGGCGAAGGGTAACAGGTTTCGAGCCGGGCTAGAGCGCTACTGTAGGAGGACCTCGAATATTTCACTGTAACGCTTCGCGTGCACAAGAACCTCTCGGAAAACGAACGCACGTCTACCGTTTTTTTGTGTATGTACCTTGGACGACGTAGGTATCGCGCGAACAACCCCGACCTGGTGCCGGGCATTTGTCCGTCCCTGCGCCCTTCCTCCAATACTGTTGTGGATAAAGTTCGGACTTTGAGAGGTGTATACAGGCCAACAAAAAAAACTTTTGCTGTATGCACCTCAGCAGTTTTCGTGCCACGTTAGCAAGCTACGACCTAAGCGTGTTCAGACAGAAACTGGGGGAGGCAATTCGTTGGGGTGTATTTTTCGCTTATTGTACAACGAAAACTAAGTTGGATGTTGTTCGCGTGTTCCCGTACATCATTTCAACAATTTCAACAATGGAGATCGATGGCGACGATCGACGGAGCGACAGCGTCGCGATCGATGAAGGCGACTCGAAGGCCGATCGACCGACCGACACAATGCTTTTCTTCTTTCTGTCTTTCTTGTTCTCCATGCCCTCTCTACGATGATCTTGGACGATACCTCGAGCTCCTTGTTATTTTTGTTTTTTCCTTTGCTGGCTGCCTGCCACCTCTGCTGCCTCTTTGGTGCGGTGCCTACCCTACACTAATGCGCTGGTGCATACTGCACTGCTGTAGTACCTGGTACTGGTGTACGTTGTCCTTCGATTTTTATATTTTTTTTGTGGGAATATATATGTGTTTGTTTTTCGCCCCCCGTCTTGCTGCACCCCCTGGGGTGTGGTGCAGGGCGGGGGATGCCTAGTCGGCGGGAACCCGGCACGGAACCCTCTGGCGGTGTAGGCGGGTGTGGGAAGCGTTCCCCGTTCTCCTT